AAGCATAGGACATCTGGACACTGAGGTTTTCAAATAGTAAAATTTCAAATTCAAAACATGCAAGTTACATTTGTTTTTATTTGTGTTTCTCTGTGCATGCAGGGGGTTTGTGAAGAGATGACCTATGAGGAGATCCAGGAACACTACCCTGAGGAGTTTGCACTAAGGGATCAAAACAAATATCGGTATCGCTACCCTAAAGGAGAGGTGAGTGCTGATTTACAAGACAATTTACACACACATTCCTTCAGCACTCCACTACACCTGAGTGTCCAAGACATAGGATCACAGGTCTGATGACACAAGTATAAAATCGTTCAGTATCAAGTACAATTATGGACAACACTATGCTCAAATGGTAAATGGACTGTACTTGTATAGTACCTTTATATACAGCCAGGATACTCAAAGTGCTTTACAATCTGTGACCTCATTTACCCATTCACACAGCAATCTCTCTACAAAGCTAACATGTACAATCATCTATGGAGACTAATCATCAGTGGTGGGACGTAACAATGTTACGTTACATACTCTCATTCACTGAGAAACTTTAACACAGAGGCATGCAGCCAGGGATTTGTAAGTACCCCCACACCCACCCAACACCTCTCTCCCAGGAGAACTCCAGAGAAGAAGAGAAACCAGTCTCTCTCCAGGAGTTGGGTTCCAGAGCCCAAGCTMTGTGTYGAGYTGAGCCCAACTATACCTAGCTGGTATGACACACTTTCAAAGGTCTGGTTCCTCACCCACCAGTGAGATGACATTCCTTGTCACTAGAGATAGTTAATGCCAACAAGAATTGCCACGACCAGGGACCCTCCCTCAACAACTGACCTTGACGGTCCTCCCTGCAGATGGTGTGCCCATGTGGAGGTAGCATCCTGTCTTAGCTCCAGGAGCCAAGGCTCAACCAATAGGTGCTTGCCAGTGAGACCCCGCCCCTTTTGCACAGTCAATTGCACTTTTCATGATCTCTGGTGATAATAAGATTACAACTATCACCACTAATGAGATTGGTAAATATGTTGCATTCTGTGCACAGARGCTCTGACTCTTTAAGAACAAATGGTGACAAAATATTGTGTAGTCATAGGGAGTTATGAAATAGATAAATATGTGTTCCTAATCTAAAACCAATCAATTGGAACAAACTTTAGAATATTCAGTTTTTGTTTTAGGCTGCATATGCATGGGATATATCTCATAAAGACAAAAAAAATCTTTAAGTAGGTCCTCTGGACACATTCCTCTTTAATGGAACGTTTTATCTTTCCTCCAAGAAATATCACAAGTCTGAAGAGTTTCAGGTAAACTCAGCCTTATAAGAAGATTATCTCTATTGTTCAAGGTGGGCTGAGTCATACTTGCAATAACAGCATTGTAGGACAGSGACAACTGGATATGAAGGCCTCCACCTCTGTTTAATGATGGACGMTRTTTCTTCACAAAAATGMCTTCRTTTACTCCTCTCTCAAACCAACGTTTCTCTCTATCAAGAATGAGAACATCTCCATCCCTGAAAAAGTGACTGCTGGCCTGTAGATGAGTGTAAACTGTAGATGTCCAGGGGTCAGATTTATAAAGGACTGCGTTAGGGCTGCAACGAACGATTATTTTAATAATCGATTAATCTGTCGATTATTTTTTCGATTAATCGATTAAT